AAACCAAAGTCCTTGCTTTTAACAGTGATTTTCTCTAGGAGAATCTTTAATTCGTATGTTGAATAATTCTGCGATATGATAATGTCAAACATTTGTTGGCTTGCACAATTAAGGCTTTCTTTTTTTTTTTTTGGCTCATGTTTCTAGTACCTGGGAAAGTTGACTGAGTCTGAGCAACTGTTTTCTAATTTGATTGTATATGACAATATTAATGGTCTAGATGTTTATTCGATATATTTAAATTTGTTTATACTTACTTGGGACATATCCAGGATGCAGTAGAAACATGGCAAGTTTAATTAATTTCAAATTTCAAGCTTATTTCCTCTGGTGATGCTTTGCCTGATGTTAGCAGTAGTATACTGTGTTGTTCTTGGAATCCAGTAATGGCTTATATATCCGATACTTGTGTGGTTCTACTTTATTTTCACTCACTATTCTCAGATATAAACAGGATAAGTCTTTCAGAGGCATGCATTCAAATCTAGCCATGTAGTTTCACCACTTGTAAAATTTGTCCTATAACTATCTACTCTGAAATACTTTATTTCGGTGTTTGGAATCAAACTGATCACTGTTTCGTATTAACTTAATTAATAGACTTTAATTGTGATATAATTCAGCAATAGAGCTTCTATCTAAGAGCAAGTTATATACATGCACTCCTATAGCTTGAAATTATCCAATAAGCAATCCTGCAGTTACTGTTATCACTTTATTACAGTATATTGAGTTATTTTTACATGGGATGAATAATAATGACAACTGATTTTTTCCCAATTAATTATCAAGCCATTTTTAACAAAAATGTTTTTCCCTACTCATCCAACTCTATAGATGGCCAGTCTATATTAATAAAATTAATTATTTGCAGTTTTGCCCATTATTTCATGAATAATTTATCTGGAAATAATTGGTCCAGATTTTCAGATGCTTTTAATCAGAAAAGCTCTGTTGGAACCCAGAGAATTTTACTGATTAAAAACAACTGAAAATTTGACCCATCTGTTGCCATGGTGGCCTTAGTGTTAAACACAGACTCTAACATGGTATTAATTTGTTTAATCTAGGATTGGTTTACTTTTTAACTTTTGTTAGTTTTCTTAACAAGAGTATGTGAACAATTTTAGTGAAGTTTTAACAGTATAACTTTCATTTTAGTTGATTTAGTTGGCTAAATCTTGAAAATCTTTTCAAAAAGGCATCAATTGCTCAAGAAAACATACACTTCTAAGAAAAAAAAAAAGCAAACTCAAGCAAACTATGATATTTCTAGAAAAAATAAGGACAATCGTTTTTATATTGATCATTACACTCACTGTCAGTCATAAGTACTATGCTCTCAGTTCCTGTTCTCTTTTCTGTAGGTACTAATGCAATTGCAAGATTACGAACCAAAATAACCTTGTACTGGCCTTCTAATGGCACCACAGTGAGGAACCTGAGAGGAGAAAGAAATGCCTTTGTCCCAGGTGTCTTTATGGTACCAGTAACAAATACAATCACAGAGCAGTATCTCCTGTGGATAGTAGGTGAGCCAACATCTCAGCATGTGCGTTACCTAATGAATGATAAGTTTAGTGTGCTATTTAAAAAAATGATCAAGTTCAGACTGAGGTTTCTGTGTAATGCTCTAACTAGTAAGCAGACTAGCAAAAGTAAAGGACATCTAGTGTAGATTTCTGTTATCTTGTAAAAGCTTTTCACACAAAAAGTGGAAAAAATAGCGTAACGGAAGTTAGAGGTGATTTTTGACCAAAACTTTTAGAAGGAAAGTTAGTGTTTTCCCCCATTAAAATGCAAGAACTCTTCTCTCCTGTCCTTTCTGTCAGCATCAACAATGGTCAAACCAAATTACATTGTGGCATGAAGAACATTAAACAGTGTTTGCAAGGTCTTGTTTTCATTTCAGCAAAAACGACAATATTCTTGCAAGGAAATTCTGAGTTTGAAAGTGGCAGAATGTATTTATAAATACAATTCCTCAGTGTTAGTCAGAAAACCGGGAACTAGTCTGTTGAGGTCTGTGTGAGTGAGCAGAGAGAGGAGGAAAGAGTGGGGTCTCACAGATCTAGGCACTGGAAAACAATCTTTCTTAGAGAGAATTGGTACCCAGGGTACCAAAGATATGCAATTTACACATAACGGAAGGTTAGCACCAAATACCGGTACTATCCAAGTCTTTTTTTATTTTGTTTGGGACTGATCTGGTAAATGGTGAATTGTTTTTGATATTGTTGACCAAAAGAAAACAAAGTGCCTGTAGGAAAAAAGATCAAAATATGCAAACTGATTCTCCTTGTTACTGGAAAAAATGTTTGTCTGCTATTTATATTGGCATTGTACTTCACTAAATTTTGTCCCGTGCCATCTAATTTGGTATTGAAATGATGAATTTCAGTAACATAAGATAATAATAATGAATTTTTGATATTATCATTCTTGATTATGAAATCGGTTAGTCAATTTTTGGCAGATATTTTCTGCACTATGTAGGGAGATCTTGAATCAAGTGGATAGCAGATTTTCACGTACACAGTAGAGAATTCCATAATTGAGGGTAATGAATATTCTTGGTGTTTAGTAGTTTCTGAAAATTCAAATGTATTATTTTTCCATAGGAAAGGAACACATAAGTCTAGGTCTAATAATATCTAATAATATTAAACCTTTATTTATTTATTTATTTATTTTTGAGGGGGGGCTGAAGAATACTTGTCAGGATACAAAAGTAAAAATAAATGTAAGAAATTTTAATGTGTATTAACTTCAATTTTTTTTTGATAAATTATAATCCAAATAGTTTGAAATTTCAGTTTGGAAGCTCATATTTTGTATCTGTGTTCTACAACATAATTTATAGTATTCCGTATGCAAAGAATAAAAACTGTTCACGTCTAAAATGATTTTATTTATTTAACATTTATGCCATGTATTCTGAGTGCCTTTCTGTCTTTAAAATGAGACTGGCTAAAGAACATAGTGATTAACAATGGGACAGTTTGCCATTAATTTCAACTACAACTCAGCTTAGTAAGTTGCAAAGGAATTGCAGAAAATTCTGATTTCCATTATATTACCTAAAATTCATTAATATAATTGTAAATTACGTTGAGACCTTGAACATAACTCCTACTGAATTGGATGTCTCTGAATATGGAAGGAGCTAAATAACTATTTCAGTTGGCTCTGTTAATTTTTTTTTTTTATTTTTTTTTTCTCTTCAGGGAAGGAGAAGTTTCCTTTCTCCAGCAAATTAGTATCTTTAAGGGGAACCTCCTTCTAGTACAAGAATGATCCACCCCCAGAAATACTCAGAAAAGTGATTATATGTATCAGGACATCAGCTTAGGTAAACAAAGTTAACAGCACAGAAGTAAGGACAAGCTAGAAAGAAGAAATATGAAAATGCTACCTTGGCATGTAGAGATGCTGTTAGGAAAGCCAAAGTTCTTCTAGATTTGAAACTGGCAAGAGTTGTCAAGGGCAACAAGAACTTCTACCAGTGAGTTATAGTAAAATGTTGAACAAGAAAACTGTGGAGCCACTGCTGACTAAGATGAATAATCTAACGAGGGCAGGTGAAGATAAGGTGATGCCTTCCAAGCCTTGTTTTTCAGATCATCTGACTGAAAACTATAGAAAGGGGAATATTGCATCCGTATTCAAAAAGGGCAAGAAACCAGGGAACTACTCAATAGTCAGCTTTACTTTGTCCTGGAAAAATCCCAAAGCATAACACCCACAAAGCCATTACAAGCATAAAAGATAAAAGGTGGTTAGCTGATTGGGTGATTAACCATCAAAAGTAAAACTGATTGCATCTATGTATCTATGATAAAATAATCTATGAATATGTTGATTTATGGATGAAAGGAGAGAGGTGTATGTCATCTATTCTGATCTTAGCAAGATTTTTGATGTGGTGTCCCACAGCATCTTTGTATCAAAGTTAAGATGCTATGGTCTAGATGGGGGAACTATTAGATGAGTGAAATGTCAAATTCAGTGTTGGGTAATGAAGTACTATGAGAGTCTGTCCTGGAACCTGTTCTGTTAAACACCTTTATCCATGCCCTGGAGGATGCATTGGAGTACAGACTTTACTTTACTATACTTTTTAAGTATAGCTAGGTTCCAAATATATATTAGACTACATATATAATTCTAATATATATTAGACTGCATCTAGAAAGCATCCGTCAAGTCTCATCCCCAGTATGAGAAAGACAATGCACCTTTCCTTCAAGAACAGATTGAGGGAGTTGCAGTTGTTCAGACTGGAGAAGAGAAGGCTCCAGGAAGACCTTATAAGCAGCCTTCCTGTCCCTAAAGGTGGCCTACAGGAAAGCTGGAGAGGGACTCTCATTCAGGGATTGTAGTAATAGCACAAGGGATAATGACTTTAAACTCAAAGTGCATAAATTAGACATTAGGACATTAGCTATTGGAAAGAAATCCTTTACTCAGAGGGTGGTGAGACACCGGAACAGGTTGCCCAGAGAAGCTGTGGATTTCCCATCCCTGGATGTGTTTAAGGCTGGGTTGGATGGGGCTTTGAGCAACCTGGTGTAGTGGGAGGTGTCCCTGCCCATGGGAGAGGAGTTGCAGTTAGATGGTCTTTAAGGTCCCTTCCAACCCAAACCATTCTGTGATTCTATGATTCTATGAAACCTAATTTTCCAATAACAACTTACAAAAGTACAATGTTCATTACAATGCTACAAGTGTAGATAGTTTTACATAATCTTAAGCTACAGCCATGTTTTAGAGGGACTTTTCCTTTCAGTTGGAAATTCAAGATTTATTTCACTTGCCACTAAGATTTTTTTTAATGAATACACCTTTAATATCTCTTACTCCCTTATGACATATATATATATATATATATATATATGTCATATATATATATATGATTCCTTAAGAAAAGTCACTTCAGGTATAATTAATAACCATTTTAATGAAATACACTTCATCAGATAAAATCACATTTGCCACTTAGCAGTTTTTATGAGAATCAACATTTTTAGTTCAACACCATTGAACCTTATTGTTTAAAAGAACTACCTATTTCAGAGCTGGCAATGGTGGGAACTTCCTTGGCAGGCAAAGAGTTTCATTAGTGAGAGTTCACCAGGTGTTCATAAATATATTTTCCTTGTGGGAAAAGGGGGAAGTTAGAAATTTATTTATTTATTTATATATTTATTAATGACAGCATTTGCTATTTCTTTAATATGAATTGGGAGCACAGAAGGAACCCAGGCCAAACTTCTTCCTGTAAATAACAGGAGGTAATTTTCTGGCAAGAAAGAAAAACACCATGTGGGAAAATGGCACGGTCATTATTTTTTAACAAGAATCACAGTCAAAACTCCCCCTAAAAGGTCTTCTTTTGGGGGGCCATTTACATTTTGAAAATGTTCTGAATTGCAAAATAGAAAAAAAAATTAGAGTATTCTGACATGCACTTTTATGGAGTGATTATTTTCCATCCAGAAGAAGCTACTTTTGTAAAGAAGTTGCCCGGCTTTGAACATGTGACTGGTTTACCAGCTTTCATCATAACCGAGGGAATCCCTCAAGGTCCTTTCCTCTAGTTTTCCAGCTGGACATCCAGATAGATGCTAGATTCTTACTTTATGGAAAACAGCATCTGGTGTTCTGCAGCAGAGGATGCTCTTTTAGTTTCCAACTGGCTCTAGAGATAAGAGGGTAATTAGTGCATTTAAAAGCCATTTTAAAAAATGTTCAATTATAGTAATCGGAAACATTCTAGTCATCCACATACGGAGCAATTCACATGGAGGATTGAAATTAATTTTAGCAATTTACAAAGGCATCAGCGGGTTCCAGTAAGAAATGAGTAAACAAAGACATACAGTAGGAAAGAGAAGTCTATGTCAAGTCAGTTGAGACAACTACAGATAACACTTGGAAAATATTACATTTCTCAGTAACGTAAACTTCATAAAATAGTTGTAGCCAAGAAATTAATGCTGGAATAAATCCAATGATGCTTTTATTTTTTCATGTTAAAAAAAAAAAAATCCTTTTTAATTATATTGATTTTTTATATATTTTCAATTTAAAATAGTTTTATCCAAAAGTATAAGGTTTTACTGAAACATCTACTATAAGAGAATGAAAATTACAATATGGGGATAGAAACAGAAGGCCAGAAATCTTGCCCAGAAGTTGTATTGGCTTTACCTTTAATTTTACAGTGTTTCTGATGATTTGAGATTGACACTAAAAAGAATTGTGCAAGTTTTATTTGACAATGGGTGTGATTCAATCTTTCCTCCTTTAAATAGCTTAATTCAAGTAGAATTCTGCCCACTTCAGGGCAACAGATCTTATGTTATTTCATTTCATTTCATTTTCAGTGAGTGAGAATTGTCCCTATTACTCTATTTTCAGAACTTAGGAGTCAGGGAGCTTTTTATCATAACATATCCTCCATAAATACCTGTTAAAATGATTGCAAAATTTTCAGCTACACTAAAGTTTTGTTTATTTGTTTGTGTGTTTCCTTTACCTTTAGAAATACCATAGCTGTACTACTTATAGTGATTTGCTTTCAGTTACCTTTTATAAACCACTGACCTCTGTGACAACATAGGACATTGTGAGTTACTGTCAGTGAGAGTCCAATGAAATTTCTTCTGTTCTTAAGATTTTTTTTTTTAAATATTATTTTTGAAGACAACTACATACTCACCATTCTAGTTATCTGTAATAAAGGTTTGTTGTTGTCTGATGAAATTCCTGCTATTAAATAGTGGAGGCATTCTATTCTTTTGAAGGAGTAATCTCTGGGGAGGGAAAAAAAAAAAAAAAAAAGTCAGCATTGCTTCTGGAAGTATTAAGTTTACCAGAAGTGACTAAATTCTGCTTATTTGTCACACAAGTTATAGCAGTCAAGAGATGTGAACTGTATGTTTATTCTTCAACAAGTGATCATTCAGAAAAAAATTGGGACAGAAAAACTATCTGAGAGAATGAAATAAAATGATTCTTATCAAAATATTTTCTTTGTTGGGGGCTCACAGCTGGTACTGGATATCTGTATTACCTTTCTGGAAATTGTACTCATGATCTTCAGCTCTCAGAACCTTGTTCTGAAGTTGTATTGCATTCTTTATTTCTTTGATATATGACTTTGTCACTTTAAAGAATTAACCTTTTTTTTTTTTTTTCTCTCTCTCTCTCTCTAAAATACTCTGTGTTGAAAAATTCCTGAGAAATTATATATAAAAAAAATGACATTCAGAATAATAAATATGTATAAAAATATATTAATTTGGCAACCACAAATCAAGCCCTTCTATTTGTTCTTAAGATTTAATTTCTTAAAAAATACAGGAAGATATTAGAAAAAAGTGAAACGGTGCATCCCATAAGACACTTTTTGTACAATGTAAAAATTACAATGTCAGCTTTTGTGGCTAGGCAGTCAATAATAGTGATGCAATATTAAGGATGTGTGCTGCTACGGTTTCAGCTAATGTGTGCAAATGCTAAAGGGGAGCACACAGAAGAGGTGTTTGCACAAGCAAGTGGTGAACAGCTATTAAAGATTAGCAGTCTTTAATGTTTTCCATGCTTACACTTCATCTTTCAAAGGATGAGTTTCCCTACTAGCTACAGAAAACAGAACATTTTTACTAGCTGATCACAAATCTTGACAAACCTTTGACTTTCATTGTATGTTCTTAATACAAATATCACAGAGAGCTACACCAGTAAATATGGTAATAATACCTTGAGCATTTTGTATACTTTGCTTAGAATATTTAAACTATACTTAAAGAGATCATGCTAAACATGTATACTTCTGAATCCAAGTATTACATTTCCATATAACTTCAGAGTTATCTTAGAAATACATGAAATATTTCTGTATTTGCCTAGTTACAAAAGCTATTAATAGTAAATATAATGACACTATAGAGAAGGAATGAACTGATTTTCAGTGAATAGAGGTAAAACTTTGGCCCCTTTAAAGTCCGGTAGAATTTTTTATTTGATTTCAGTGGGACCAGACTTACTCCCAGAGCCTCCCTCTCATTTATTGTGTAATCCCTATTGGATCAACAAAACTTGGTATCTTTTTATGCACACATTTAAATTGCTTACTGCATTCTTACCTATTTCACATGGGTGTTGCTGTGTCTAATTAAGTTTCCACTTCCTCTGGAGAAAGCTGCTATAAATAGCTCTCTCTAGACGGGTAGATTCTGTGTCTGGTTAACCATTAGATTGACAGATTTCTGTGTCTAGTCATTTCTTCTGACACAGCCTCACCTGAAGCACGTCATCTTCTTGGGCACATGACTGAATGTCATTAATCATGACATTCACATTAGTCAGAGACTGAGGTCACCCTTACTAACAACTAAATGTCAGCAGAGAAAATTCCATGGGCATAATGGAGCTTGCTTTTCAAACAGTAATATCTAAAAACCTTTCAGATTACTGATGCTATAGATTTTCTGTGTCAGTAAGAAAAAGCATCCTTTAATACTTAAACAAAGTAATATTTAATAAGCTTTTAGTGAAACTGAAATGTATTGTCTTCCGTGAGTATACATTAACTTCTGCTAACAAATATTACTCTTTATCTGTATTTTGAAGCTGAGCCTGATGTCGGAAAAGTATAGAAAGAATCATGGAGAAATAGTTTTTGTGGATAAGAGAAAATAAGTATGGGTATCTCCAAACATTGGGCACATGCATAAAAATCTTTTGTATTTTGGAATGCAATATCTTATCTCCTATATCAACTACGGCGGTCCAAATTGGACTTGCCATAGACCAAATAAATATTTCTGTAATATATGTTTATAAAAAATACAGTACACGATCTTTTTTTGCACTAACAAAAACCCTTTTATTGATACCAGGAATAACTGCACATTTTCAGCAAGAAAAAATAGGAATGGTTTTGCTATGTAAATAATAGATAAAGAACAACAACAAAAAAGCATAATCCAGCTATTTTCTCTCCAGGGAAAAATAAACCCCTATAAGCCCAATTTGTGCAGAAAGATCCATTAGGCAGGAAGTTAGTAAGCCAGAGTCTGTCCTATGACTCTGAAGGGAATAAGTTAATGTTGGGAGTTTGGTGCCTTAAATAAGAAATTGCGGAAGGAAGGAAGAAATATCAGCATTTCATTATTTCTCATTAGCAATTTACTCTAAAAACACTTTGTCTGGACAAACATTTCTAATACTAGTGTATAAGCTGGAAGAGCACAGAGTGTTATAATAAAGCTATTATTACCAAGAGGATACCTTGTGACTCCCAGAACTTCCACTCTGGATATGTTCCACATCCCCAAGGGGCTTGAAGAAGTGTGTCATTTTAACAAACACCAGGAGAAAAGAATAAGTTTTGGAGAGTCATCAGTCTGAAGGCTAGACTGTCACTTGGGTTATGCAAAAGCCATGGGTTATGCAAAAATTCTAAGCCTCAGAAAACTGTAACCTTATGTGTTCTGGATACAGATATGGTATTGCTTTTATTCTATTAGGCATGGTGCTTTATACTGCCACTTTGTTTTAGGCACAAAGCTTCATTTTGGATGTCTAGAAGAGATGAGACCTCCTTCCAGAATAGCAAAATGTGAAAGTTGTCAGAGGCTGTATGTATCTTGACACACTGTGTATACAAATTCAGTCTTCCTAATATTAAGAAAATTCACACATGGGTGAGGACTGTTTATAGCATAACAGGTTTAGGTGATTTTTTTATTTTATTTCTGTGCCTGACTTTGAAGTCAATATAGAAATATGTATGTGTGCTTACAAGCACACACAATTCCTAATCTAGTTTCCACTGAAGACAGTCCCAACCTTTCAATTGACTGTAAAAGTAATTAGAAGTTAAAATGCCTTTGCTACTTCAAAAATCCCTGCTTGCCTTTCCTCTCACAAAGCTATTCTACTATGTGGGTCTGATGTGTTGTTGATTGCTTTTGAAGACCTTAGGATCCCATATGGAACAGTCTGAACAACTGCAACTCCCTCAATCTGTCCTCGAAGGAGAGGTGCTCCAGCCCCTTGATCTTCTCTATGGTCCTTCTCTGGACTTGTTCTAATAATTCCATGTCCCTCTTGTGATGGGGGCCCCAGAGCTGAATGCAGAGCTCCCAGTGGGGTCTGAGGAGAGTAAAGTAGAGGGGGGTAATCACCTCCCTTGCCCTGCTGGCCATGCTTCTTTTGATGCAGCCCAGGATGCGGTCGGCTTTCTGGGCTGCAAGAACACATTGCTAACTCATGTCAAGTTTCTTGGTACAGTAGGTTGTTCTCCTCAGGGCTGTTTTTAATCTATTCTCTACTTAGTCTGTATTTGTTGTTGGGATTGTCCCAACCCAAGTGCAGGACCTTGCACTTTAACTTCATGAGGTTTTCACAGGCCCACTTCTCAAGCCTGTCCAGATCCCTCTAGATGACATCCCTTCCATCCAGCAGGCTGAACACACAATTCATCTTGGTGTCATTGGCAAATTTGTTGAGGTTGCACTCAATCCCACTGTCCATATCTCTAACAAAGATTTTGAATAGTGCTGTTCTCAATACAGCACCCCGTGAGATGCCACTCATCACCGGTCTCCACCTGGACGTGGAGCCATTGATCACAAATCTTTGAGTGCAACGATCCAGCCAATTCCTTATCCACTGACTGGTCCATCTGTCAAATACATGTCTCTCCAATTTAGGGACAAGGATGTCATGCAGGACAGTGTCAAATGCTTTGCAGAAATTCAGGTAGAAGACATCAGGTGTTCTTCCCTTCTCTACCAATACTGTAAGCCCATTGTAGAAAGCCACCAGATTTGTCACGTATGATTTGCCTTTAGTGAAGCCATGTCAAATGTCACCAATTACCTCTTTGTTTTCCATGTGCCTTAGTATAGCTTCCAGGAGGCTGTGCTCCTTGACATTGCTGGGCACAAAGGTGAGACTAACTGGCCTGCAGCTTCTCGTGTCTTTATTTTTTCCCTTTCTAAAAAATGTTGATTTTGTTTCCCTTTTTCCAGTCACTGGACTGCCGTGACTTTCAAATATGATGGACAGTGGTTTAATGGCTTCATCTGCCAGTTCCCTCAGTATCTTTGGATGCATCTCAACAGGTCCCATGGACTTGTGCACATTTGGTCTCCTCAGACAGTCTCAGGCATGATCTTCTCCTACACTGTGTACTAACTTCATTCTCCCAGTCACTGCCTTTGGATTCTGTGAATATACATTGTGTCAATATAAATGTTCTGTGCATATAAAGTTTTGTGAAAATTACCCAGCTTGCATTTCCTGGAATTACGATCACAGTCACAAAGGTACATAAAAGAGCAGGGAACTAAGAGTGTGATACCAATTTCATCAAAGCTACATGGAGATGGATCATTTCTGAAACACATAATGTCAATAGGTTCAAGAGGGATTCAGTGGTGTGTGCATTATAATTCAGTCTTGCAGGGATGACTGTGTATCTTAAACTTCTGTGACATGAAGATCAAAAAGCACAAAATGACCTTGGACATTTGTGATGGCTTAAAGGGTTTATCCAGAGTTCCTGTACATTAGGTTCCTTCAAAAAAAGTGGGCCAGTCTGTAGGGAGGAAGGCTGGTTGTTAATTTTGTTCTGCCTGCTGCACACTGGGTTGTATTGGTATCTGTGTGGAAGGAGGGAGAAAACTTCTTTCTTGACAGTAACAGGGGTGCTTGATGCGAAGGTCTCATTGGGCTGTGAGGTGGAGCAGGGAGAGCAGAAGACATCTCAGCAAATTAACTGTCTTCAGCAATGGCAGAAATGTGGAGATTACAGGAAAAGCAGATGTGTAGCCTAGCCTCAAGGATGACATGTATCAAAAGTAATGTTCAGGATGCAGAAATGAGTCTGGAAAGGGTGCTGGAGTCTAGAAAACTTTCTGAAGTTGTTAAATTGAAGCCAATGTGGGAAATAAATAAATAAATAAATAAATAAAGCATATGGTGGTTGACAAAGATTTATTTAACAATCTTCTCTTTTGTCTCACTCTGTTGGTCTGAACTTTCCCGGTTTTAAAAATGTCTTTGCTCTAGTTTCTAGTTCAATTAAAACTGATTTATAAGATTCACAATCTTTTGGTGGTTTTTGAGTTGCTTACTTTGTGGAAGTGTTTCCTAAAACAGCACAGCAAAGTTGCTGTCTCCCTGGATTCCACTACAACAGAAAATACCACTGATGCTGAACACAGAAGGTAGAGTTATTCTGTTCTCTTTAGTCTATAACCTATGCATTGTGTTTTGTGTATTCTGTAAAATATAGGTTATATGTGTATTTGCATGATTGTATTCTAGTAGTGGAGTCTACATGGTTTTGGGGATGAAAGCTTCTTTCAGAAGTTGATGTGACTGCTAGCATTGAATTATCATGATATCCAAAGCTCTGATAAGTACTAGCTCCAGGGAGGCCCTGTACTTGATATTTTAAATCACTGGAAACTCAGAAGACCTCATTCTTTTACTGACTGATAACAGTCGTTATGCACTGGTTGCCATTATTTTCACTGGCATAAAAGTAATAAGGAGAATAAGGAGAGAGCATTAAGGACCAGCAGGCAGGATGGAAGATTTTCTTTGGATTTCTGTCTGCTATACGCCTTTATTTTATTTATTTTTTTTTTTCTGCAGACTTGCCAACCCTCATACACTTTTGAACTGATTTTCTCTATGCATGATGAATATGACAAAAAATGTATGTAGATTGAACTTGCATAACATTAAGAGTTTTGAAGCACTCAGAACACTCTGTACAGTACTTTACTGCATAAACATTCTTAAGTCTTAACAATATGTCTTCTTACTTATGTGTTTCTCTTTCAACCATGCTTCTTGCTCAGAAAACAACTGTTTCAATTCCAGTTAACAGTACGTGTTGCTCCAAAGCTCTAAAACCACTCTCTATAGCAAGTATCAAATTGGTAGTGACAATATCTCTAAGAATGTAGTTCATAATGACTGAGTTTCCTAATTTAAATGACATGATTTTATGAAAATACAAGAAACTTAGATATATGGAAGACAAAGATAAACCTCTTACTATTTGGCTAATCTGAGTGTTCAAAGTTATAGCTTATGTCTCAGCTGTAAAATACTGCCCATTTCCTATTCCAGGAGCTTGCAAATGCCCTCCCCCCCCTTTTGTTTGTTTGTTTGTTTGTTTTGTTTTTCACATCATTTGGGTTAAGGTTATCGTCCCCCTGTACTAAGCTGTTACTATGTTCAGCTTTGGGCCCCTCAGTAGAA